GGGAGAGAGAACTGTTGGTACCCCAGTATGCTGGGGATGAGGAGATGCGGAAGACCTGCTACCATGATATGTTGAGGGCTGATATTCGGGAGCATGTCAGCTACTCTGCCTGCCCGACCCTGGAGTCCATGATTGCCAGGGCGCGGGAGAGGGAGCTCGATTTGGAGCATGTGAGGAAGAGGAAAGCTGAGTCTGAGCAGGTGACAGGGGTTTCGGGGAAGAAACCCAAGGGATCCGACGTTAGGTCGAAGGGCCAGCCGGGCCAGAGCCGCTGCAGGAAGTGCGGCAGGCCGCATGAGGGAGCTTGTAGAGCAGGATCGTCAGGCTGCTACAAGTGCGGCAAGACGGGGCACTTTGGCAGGGATTGTACTGCCCCCGCCCCACAGTACAGATGACAGACCTGATTTGCTTCCATTGCAATCAGAGGGGCCACAAAAGGCCAATTGCCCGAGATTGACAGCAGCGTCAGCAGCGGCGCCGGTTTCAGCGACAACGCAGGTTGCAGATGGCCGGAAGGCCAAGACAGAGGCTCCAGTGGTGCGGAGCCGAGCATTTCAGTTGACAGCCGAGGAGGCACTCGCTGCACCCGATGTAGTGACGGGTATGATTCCTTTCTTATGCTTTTATTTTATGGCGCTGTGATCTTGATATGTTATGTATGTGCTCTGTTTAGGATCGTTCCATGTGAACGGTATCCCAGTTCAGGTATTGTTTGATTCGGGTGCTACCCGATCGGTTGTCTCTCTTGCGCTTAGCAAGAAGTTTCTGGAGTCGTCGGGCACGTTGGATTGCCCTCTAGAGGTCGAGATTGCGAACGACCGGTCAGTGCGAGTGATGATATATGGTCCATTAGCATGGCCTAGACTGATCTAGAGCGCCAGCCTATTCTGGCGCGCTCCTGCCAGCCCTACCTGGCGCTCCCTTGCCAGCCTTGCTGGGGACTCCCTTGCCAGCCCTGTTGGGGACTCTCCTGCCGGCTCGACCAGGCGCTCCCTCGCCTGGCACTCCCTTGCCATCCTCTCCTGGTATGCGCTCGCCAGCCCTGCCTGGGGCGCGCCCGCCAAGCCCCGCCCGGCGCCTCCGGGCGGCCTTGCCCAGCTCCTTGCTAGTTGGGCCTGAATTGGGCTGACCCAAGGCCTGACCTAATTCCCCATGACCTAATTGTCCCCTATATAATGAATAGTATCTCCTCCATGGAGGAGGATCTTCCCTTTGGCTCAGCCGCCGCCCTATACTCCGACTGGGTGGCTCAGCCGCCACCCGCCGCCGTCAGCCACCATACACCACCACTAGCACCAAGATGGTTCCCTCCAGCTATGGAGAACCATCTCAGATCTTCTGGCTGATCTAACTTGACCGTCGGAGTCCGCTCCCGGGGCACAGTCCCTGGGACGGCTCTAACGACTTTGCACTGGGATGTCCAGATCTCCGCCGCAGCAGAAGACCAGAAGACTCGCCGGAGGTCGATGTCGCATCATTTGGCGCCATCCCGGACTTGAACGAGCAGCCATCATCTCGTTCTTGCCTAGATCTGTTCAGATCTGTTGTGCTTCAACTCAGGTTTGACCAGATCCGTCCATATTTAACACCATTTGTTCAGATCCGTTTGGCTCTTGCCAAGATCTACTCCATTTTCAGTTCAGATCTGTAGATCTGTTTTATCTTTAAGCTCAGATCTCAAGATCTGTAGTGTCTTTTGCTCAGATCTCTTGATCTGATGTGTTCTATCGTTCAGATCTCCTGATCTGCTTAGTGTTTTTGTTCAGATCTATGGATTTGTTTCGTTTTAAGACAAGATCTTTGGATCTACCCTAGTTTTTGTTCATTCAAACACTTTTCAAGTTCGTAAAGACATTTCAGATTAGCTTCGTTTTCTTTTCAGTGACCCATTTAGCAAGTTGGGGAGGAAGGAAAATTTTACAAGTTTTTGAGTTTATAACCCACCATTGTTTGTATTTATGATGTTTTCTCTTCAGAAGTTTAGAAAAAGAAAACGAAAATTTATCCTGTTTCTTTGTTCATGCTTTGATAGCTTGTTAAGCAAGCTGCAGAGAAACAAAAAGTTTTATAAGAAAAATAATTTATTAGATCTGTTTTTGTTTTTATTTTTGGGTTTTTTCAGCAAGATGAGAAGAAAAGAAGCTTTTTATGAGTTTTACCTCATCTTTTCTTCATAAATTATCAGAAAACCCTTCCCAAGTTGTGCATTTCATGCATATTTTTACTTGGTGTAACACCCATTTGTACACATAGTTGTAGGGCTTGTACATTTACAAAACCTTCAAAAAAAAGAGAAGAAGGGAGGAGAAGCTTTGATAGGTTTTTACTCCACTTCGAATTCATATATTTTTAGAAAACCAGTTCTAGTTGAGGTTTTCTATATGAAATATCATTTATTGAAGCATTCTGTTGTAAGCAATGATATATTACTTGTACACCAATATGTTTGGTGGCATTACACAAACCCATCAGAGACCATCTTTTATTACCTTACCTTAAAAGTTACCCTACCCTCAATTTACAGTTTAGCAAACAAATTATTATTATTATTTAAAAAAAAGAAGTGGAAGACAGCCGAACATTTGCGTACAAACTACGTAATGCTCCACACATCTAAACAAGAATATAGAGCTCTAAGACAAATCACGTGGGGCCCATGAGTGTAGAAAGCTTTGAAAAGTCAGCAGGAAAAGACAAAACCGGGAATCACAACCAATGCACCAACGTTTTCTCTTACCAGCACCAGCACCGGTCAACGACCTTTTTTTCCTTCATGCGCCGCCGACGACTAGAGCCTGACCATCTCCGGCCGTTCTCGGTCGGTCAACCACCCCTTTTCGATGAAAACCTTCCCAATCCACCTTTTGCCGCCGGAGACCGGTCCAAGTCACCGTCGGTCGCCGTTAGCAGCTTTACCGGACCACCCACGGTCGTTCCAGCTTTGACGAACCACCCAGTCGCAGACCACCTTCAACCGACAACACAGCAAAGCAGCTCCGCCGCGGAAATGTGTCTGCTCCGATCTCGCCTACAACCAACGACGAAGCTCCAGCGAGAAACCCAAGGTTGTTCGACGACCACTGTAATACAAATACCGAAGCGTTTTCAGCTGTCAAAACTAATAAAAATGGTGCGCCTAAACCCAAAGGAATTCTGAATCTTCAATCGGTTTCAAAAAAAAAGAAAAAAAAAGAAAGGAAAGAAAAGAAAAGGAAGAAAGAAAGAAGCAGAGGATTAGCATTTTAGCCCACAATCAAACAAATGGGCTCTGATTAATTCGTAAATGGGTTCCATAAATTCGATTTTGGGCTTCACAAAAATCAGTATTTGTATTTTATTGGGCTACTCCATCAACAAATAAAATGGGCCACCTTTGCAAGACAAAATACATTGTTTAAAGATCATGCACCGCAAGCCCCGCTCAACAAATACACTTCACAATACACATGGGTTTTCAAAAAAAAAAATCAAAATGGCCCAATTATCGTAAAAACAAATTAGCCCATCAGTCAATGCTCAAATGCTGTGATTCCACCCAACAAAATACGTTTCAAAATACGCTTGGCGATTTCAAAAAAAAAAGGGAGAGGAGTAGTACATTACTAGTACTCGTGAAGTATTTCGAAATAACCCTCAGCAACTGCGCCGCCCGACTATCGGCAACCGTGTTGACCAACTTCAGGCAGTCTTGCTACTCAACCCTCACCATTTATGTTGACTGATCCCGTTAGTCTTGCTGCTCTGCTCTCAGCAGCCGTGCGACCTAGCTCAGCAGTCGCAAAGCCCAATCATCAACAGTTACGTTGTCGGACTCCCAGCAGTCGTGCTGCCCAGTCCTCGACAGCCGTGCTACCCAGCTCCTTTCAGCGTTTGCATCGCTTAGCTCCTTGCAGCAGCTGTATACCTTAGTTTTCAGAGGCTATATATCCGTCACCCCCTTTCTTCGCCTCCTCTAAGAAAAAGAAGGGGGAGAAGGGTTAGCACAACACTATGCAGAAACGATTTTTATTCCGAAGGGGTAGAGTTAAAGTATATGAAGAGCCGATATCGTACGTGATAGTGCATTCCCGAGGTGACATTAGATCGAAAAGGCAGTCTCGTAGTTTAACCCTTGGGGGTCTCGTTGCCCAGCCGTCAATAGTCATGTTGCTCATCCATCGCTAGTAGCTCGCTGCCTGGCCTTCAATGGCCCTATTGCTCTATGCTCTGCTCTCGACAATACTCCCACTACACACCTCCTGACAACAGCTCAATTGACCGACTCCCAGTAGCTTCGATGCCCAGCTCTCGGCAGCCGTGTTACCCAACAGCTATGCATTCATTATTCCCTTCCTTCACCTCCTTTGAGAAAAGGGGGGGGGGGGGAGAAGAGTCGGTACAACACTGAACATGAGTGATTTGCATTCCAAAAGGGCATAGTTGAAGTACACAAAGAGCTAATACTTTGTGATAGTGCATCCCCGAGGTGGCACTAATATCCCGGATCGAAAGAGCAACCCCGTGGTTCAATCCTCGGTAGCCTCGTTTCCCAGCTCCACAGTCCAGCTCTCAATAGCCTCGCTGCATAGCCGTCGGCAGTCAGCCAAGACAGCGAGGCACCGATCGTCACTACAGCTAATGATGCAGTAGAGCATCAGGTGCCATTACACTTTACCCCAGAATGATCACCCGGGACACATACAGAGATTGTCGGCCGCTGCGCCCAATCCTGCAAGGTTCAGCACCCTTGCTTTGAGTCGCCAGGCTTCTTTTCCCGACTCCATTATAGCGGCAAACTCCGCATGTGAGGTTCAGCACCCTCGCCTTGAGTCGCCTGGCTTCTCAGCCTGACAGCATGACAGCGGCAAGCTCCGCATGCGAGGTTCCGTATCCTCGCCTCGAGTCGCCTGGCTTCTCAGCCCGACTCCATTATAGCGGCAAGCTCCACATGCGAGGTTCAGTACCCTCGCCTCGAGTGGCCTGGCTTCTCTGCCCGACTCCATTATAGCGGCAAGCTCTGCATGCGAGGTTCAGTACCCTCGCCCCGAGTTGCTTGGCTTCTCAGCCCGACTCCATTACAGCGGAAAGCTCCGCATGCGAGGTTCAATACCCTCGCCTCGAGTCGCCTGGCTTCTCAGCCCGACTCCATTATAGCGGCAATCTCCGCATGCAAGGCTCAGTACCCTCTCCTCGAGTCGCCTGGCTTCCCAGCCCGACTCCATTATAGCGGCAAGCTCCGCATGCGAGGTTCAGTACCCTTCCCTCGAGTCGCCTGGCTTCTCAGCCTGACTCCGTTATAGCGGCAAGCTCCACATGCGAGGTTCAGTACCTTTGCCTCGAGTCGCCTGGCTTCTCAGCCCGACTCCAGTATAGCAACATGCCCCGACCATTCCACGCGACGCTCTCCCGTGCGATCTATCTACGATCACTAGCAGCCAAGCCCGATCCATTCCGCGCGATGCTCTCCCGCGTAACATCTCCATGATCATTGGCTGCTAAGCCCAAGCTACTCTCCTAAGTCGCGCAACATAAGTCACGCATCGTCGCGCACCATAAGTCGCGCATCACAAGCTTATTCCACACCATGATCTTGGTGCTTCCTCTCTCACAGTCATCATGGTTCTCTTGTGCTCGGACGATCGATGAAGTGTTATCTACATTACATCATGCTATAGTGAGGATACTCTCCAGCAAGAAGGTCATCCCGACAGTGGCCCTTTTACCTACGACCCCACAGCATCTCTGTTTCCTGGCTCTCGGAAATGGTCTCGCTGTGCAACCCTACCTGTAGCCTCGCCGCGTACCCCACAACATCTCTGTTTCCTGGCTCTCGGAAACGGTCTTACTGCGTAACCCGACCTGTAGCCTCATCGCATACCCCACATCACCTCTGTTTCCTGGCTCTCGGAAACGGTCTTGCTATGCAACCCCAACCTATAGCCTCACTGCCTATCCCTCAACAATTCTGTTGTCTGGCTATCGACAATAGTCTCGCTATGTGACCCACGCTAGCAACCTAATCGCACAACTCTTGGAATATCTTCCACTTATATTATGATCAACAACCTTACGGTTTATTGGTTTGACAACATAGTCTGACACGGCTACCTACGCTACCCACATCAGACTGGGGGGAATCCAACTAGGTGTAGCCCGAGCAAGAAATACCCTCAAGACGGTTATTAATGCAGACTATGTAGATGGTTACTGGTGACATCCCATCTGCGCATGGCTACCACAACATCTGTGCCGCATAACAGTCTTAGGGACTGAAGGGCAAGCTTACGGTTCTTAGCTACCCCGACCCGACATTCCATCGACATCAGTGTCGTGTAACACTCTTTAGCAGCCTCGGTCTGCATGATCGCAACAACAGTTACGTTACATCGCACCGATCGGCTCGCGCTCCTCTCAATGAAGGAGTATCAAGTCATCTCAAGCTACATAAGCAATGCTTGGCTCATCGCACAACCCCACGGCTCTCGTGGGCGAGGTTCAGTCATTTCTCTTTATTATTTATTGTATTGGTGCTTTATCTAGTCCGATCCGATTGTCAGCAACCCAATCGCATCAGACTAGGGGGACTTGACGACGCACAGTTTATATGACTAAGTCCAGTCCGATGTCATTGGCCGCGTACCAATAACACCAGACTGGGGGGACTTGATGATATATGGTCCATTAGCATGGCCCAGACAACTCTAGCGTGCCAGCCTAGCCTGGCGCGCTCCTGCCAGCCTTGCCTGACGTTCCTTTGCCAGCCTCGCTGGGGACTCTCCTGTTGGTTTATATGACTCAGTCCAGTCCAATGCCATTGGCTGCGTACCAATAACATCGGACTGGGGGGACTTGATGATATATGGTCCATTAGCATGGCCTAGACTGATCTAGAGCGCCAGCCTAGCCTGGCGCGCTCCTGCCAGCCCTGCCTGGCGCTCCCTTGCCAGCCTTGCTGGGGACTCCCTTGCCAGCCCTGTTGGGGACTCTCCTGCCGGCTCGACCAGGCGCTCCCTCGCCTGGCACTCCCTTGCCATCCTCTCCTGGTATGCGCCCTGCCAGCCCTGCCTGGGGCGCGCCCGCCAAGCCCCGCCCGGCGCCTCCGGGCGGCCTTGCCCAGCTCCTTGCTAGTTGGGCCTGAATTGGGCTGGGCCAAGGCCTGACCTAATTCCCCTTGACCTAATTGTCCCCTATATAATGAATACTATCTCCTCCATGGAGGAGGATCTTCCCTTTGGCTCAGCCGCCGCCCTATACTCCGGTTGGGTGGCTCAGCCGCCACCCGCCGCCGTCAGCCACCATACACCACCACTAGCACCAAGATGGTTCCCTCTAGTTATGGAGAACCATCTCAGATCTTCTAGCTGATCTAACTTGACTGTCGGAGTCCGCTCCCGGGGCACAGTCCCTGGGACGGCTCTAACGACTTTGCACTGTGATGTCCAGATCTCCACCGCAGCAGAAGACCAGAAGACTCGCCGGAGGTCGATGTCGCATCAGCGAGCATCAGAGGTCTACCGAGATTGCGTCCTGCGACTGTTTGAGGAGCGTTATCTGGTAGATCTGGTTCCCATACCTTTGCGGGGGAACAAGGTTATTATCGGTATGGATTGGCTAAGCCCCAATGGGGTAGTGATTGACTGTGCGCAGCAGTTTGTGCGGATCAGGACCCCAAGTGGGGGAGAGCTGGTGATTCAGGGAGAGAGGCCACATCAAGGACCAGCACTATGTTCAGCATCGAGAGCTAGGCGTTACCTTCAGCAGGGTTGCGCAGGATTTGTTGCCTTTGTGATGGATACCCGGGAGATGGGTAAGGCAACGGTGAGCGATGTGCCCGTGGTACGAGAGTTTGCGGACGTATTCCCCGAGGAGTTGCCTGGGATACCTCCGGAGAGGCAGGTAGAGTTCAAGATTGAACTAGTCCCTGGTGTGGCTCCGATAGCCAAGGCACCGTATCGGTTGGCTGCTCCTGAGATGCAAGAGTTGTCTACACAGTTGCAGGAGCTGTTAGACAAGGGTTTCATTAGACCGAGCAGTTCACCCTGGGGAGCCCCGATTCTGTTTGTGAAGAAGAAGGACGGGTCGCATCGGATGTGTATAGATTATAGGGAGCTGAATAAGGTAAACGGTGAAGAACCGTTACCCACTCCCGAGGATTGATGACCTCTTTTGACCAGCTACAGGGAGCATCTTGGTTCTCCAAGATTGATTTGCGATCAGGGTATCATCAGATGAGGGTCAGAGAGGAGGATGTACAGAAGACTGTGTTCCGGACGCGCTATGGCCACTATGAGTTTGTGGTGATGCCTTTCGGGCTCACCAATGCTCCTGCCGCGTTCATGGACCTCATGAACCGCGTGTGTAGACCGATGTTAGACCGGTCTGTGATAGTGTTTATTGATGATATATTGGTTTACTCCAAGACGTGAGAGCAGCATGAGGAGCATCTGCGAGAGGTTCTGGAGACTTTGAGAAGGGAGAGCTTGTATGATAAGTTCTCCAAGTGTGAGTTCTGGTTGCGCGAGGTGCAGTTTCTCGGGCACCTTGTCAACCAGAACAGGATATCGGTGGACCCGGCCAAGGTTGAGGCCGTGATGAGGTGGGAAGTCCCGAGGTCTCCATCTGAGATTCGAAGCTTTCTGGGATTGGCAGGCTACTATCGGAGATTCATTCAGGACTTCTCCAAGATAGCCGTGCCCCTGACCAGGCTGACAAGGAAAGCCGTGGTCTTTCACTGGGGGCCTGAGTAGCAGGCCGCATTCGAGACACTGAGACAGAGATTGTGCGAGGCACCAATCTTAGCCCTGCCAGAGGGCATGGAGGATTTTGTTGTATACTGCGATGCGTCCATCTCGGGTTTGGGCGCAGTATTGATGCAGAGAGGACATGTTATTGCTTACGCTTCGAGGCAGCTGAAGCTTCACGAGGCGAATTACCCGAAGCATGATTTGGAGCTGGGGGCTGTTGTTTTTGCCCTCAAGATTTGGCGTCATTACCTCTATGGTGTTCGCTGTACCATCTATACGGACCATAAGAGTTTGAGGTACCTCATGGATCAGCTGAATTTAAACATGAGGCAGCGTCGGTGGTTGGACGTGGTGAAGGATTACGATTGCGAGATCCTTTACCACCTGGGGAAGGCCAATGTGGTGGCCGACGCGCTTAGCCGCAAGGCAGCGCCGATCAGGGATATCTGTCTGAGGATGACAGTGGTGACTCCGCTGTTGGAGCAGATTCGGGAGGCCCAGCAGGAGGCCATGAAGGAGGAACATCGGAAGAGCAAGCGGATTGTGGGGCGGATTGTAGGGCCGAGGGTTATTGACTCTTCACCATAGGGTGTGGCTCCCTTATCATGGAGGCGTGCGCCAGATCCTGATGGAGGAGGCACACAAATCCAGATTTTCTATCCATCCCGGAGCGACGAAGATGTATAGAGATCTTCGTCTTGATTATTAGTGGCCCTACATGAAGCGGGACATAGCATGGTATGTGGAGCGGTGCTTGACCTGCAGGAAGGTCAAGGCCGAGCACCAGAGGCCACACGACAAGATACATCCGTTAGATATTCCCATGTGGAGATGGGAAGATATTACCATGGATTTCATCCCCAAGCTTCCCAAGACTGCACGGGGAGTGGATTCAATTTGGGTAATCGTGGATCGGTTGACCAAGAGTGCCCATTTCATACCGATCCAGGAGAGCATCTCGGCCGAGAAGTTGGCCGACATCTATATCCGAGAGGTGGTAGCTCGGCACGGAGTGCCAGTTTCAGTGATTTCCGACAGGGATGTGCGGTTCACTTCCAGGTTTTGGAAGAAGTTTCATGACGAGCTAGGTACTCGACTGCATTTTAGCACCGCCTTTCACCCATAGACGGATGGTCAGAGCGAGCGGACCATCCAGACGCTAGAGGATATGCTGCGGGCATGTGTTTTAGACTTCGGAGGTAGCTGGGATACCTACCTTCCGTTGGCGGAGTTCTCGTATAATAATAACTATCATGCGAGTATTGACCGTCCTCCCTTCGAGATGTTATACGGGAGGAAGTGCAGAACCCCGATATGTTGGGGTGAAGTTGGCCAGAGGGTCATGGGGAGCACCGAAGTGGTGCTCAAGACGACAGAGAGGATTCAGCAGGTTCAGAGCAGACTTCAGGCTGCTCAGAGTCGGCAGAAAAGTTATGCCGACAAGCGCCGATCGGACCTGGAGTTTCAGGTCGGGGATATGGTTCTCCTGAAGGTGTCGCCATGGAAGGGCGTCATCCGATTCAGGAAACGGGGCAAGTTGGGTCCCAGGTATATTG